TAACAATGTGCCTTCGTAAAAGGAAAATGCAGGAAGAGAAATGAGGTCAGTGACAGATGGCTTCAGGGTCCTTGTGGCACATGTGCTGGGGTGGTGGAGGAGGATATGGGGTGGGAGGGGCTGAGCACTGCAGCTGTCTTCAGGTAAGGCTGGGGATAGAGCACCAGGAGATACATCTGGAAAGGCCATCAAGTTAGAACTTATGGAGGACTCAGCAGGCTCTGAGCTGAGGACACTTTGCAACAGGAGTCCCTCAAATCTGCCTTGGGTTTGGCAGGCAGGGAACTGAAATCACCCCATTTCACCAGGAAGAGGCTAACTCTTCCCCAGAGGATCCCAGCGAGAGGGACTGGCCAAGAGATATGCCAGTACTGAATATCAGTCAAGGGAGTCCCCACTGCCCCTGGACTGCTGGCAAGAACGAGCTGCAATGAGCTGTGGCTTCTGTTATATCTGTCACTGTGTGCTCCCCTGGGATCGGGGGAGTTCCCCTTCTGGCCTTCCTTAGCACACCCCCAAATCTTCCTGTGGGCCCAGGCGTCCAGTAGACAATAAGCTTCAGCCCCGGATGAGTGAGGGGGGCAGTCCATTTCCCTGGCCGTGACTTGGAAAGGGACAGCTTCCTACTGGCAGCATCTGTGGCCACCAGTCTCAGAGGGAGATGCAAGAAACAGCTGCTAGGGACACCCCTGACCGGCGTCTGGCCAGGAAGTCTACATCATAAGCCACAGGCCAAGAAAGGGTGCAAGGTAGTACAAAAGGAAGAGTGGAGTCGTGGGGGTGCCAGCGGGGACACAAACTCAGCATGCACCACTCCTCACATCCAATGGGTCCCCAGGGAACTGGGTGAAGCCCATGGTGATAGAAATGGCCACTATCCAATCAAAGCTACTCTCAATCAGTGATTCCTAGAGCCCTGAACCAGGTTTCGAATCCTGCCCCTCTGTCCTGACACTTGCGTGCTAGGTACCTTAGATGTGCCTCCTACCTCCTATCTCTGGGTCTGTTTTCTCAGGTCTAAAGCTGCAGGATCTACCTTCTAGATTGTTACAAAGATCATGTGAGTTAATAGGGGAAGAATTCACACAGGACCCTCCTTCCACTTCTCTCACAATCCATCCCTCTGATAACACACTGGGCTACCTCATGCTTCTGGTCCTCTGATCCCATCTCCTGAGGTTACAGGCCTGCACCGTCAAGTCTGGTTTTATGTGACACTAGAATGGAACCCAGGAACTCACCACGCTAGACAAGCACTCTATCAGCTGAGCCACATCCCCAGCCAGCCAAAGCAAGCTTTATAATGGGAGAACGATGCCACCCAAGCTGTCCCCGTGATGCTCTGGAAGCCATGCTCCAGAACCTGTCCCAGCCCTGCAGCACTTGCCCTGCACGCCTGGACCAACTCCATCTGCTCAGCTCCACGATCCCAGGCTCTCAGACCCCAGGGCCTGGCCACCTTCTGGATATACCGCCTTCTGTTTTCCTACTCTCTGCTCAATGCCGGTTCATTCCTTCTCAACCAGAAGTCTTTCTCCAGAAAGCCCTCCCCTCACTGCCTGAACCACCCACTCAGACCCCTCTGATCTGGGTGTCACTATCCGGGGACAAATCTGCCAGGCTCCTCATACAGAGTAACTAGGCTCATCCCCCTCCCAAGTCCAGGCCATTTCCCAAATGTCTAGCCTGGGAGGTATGCCGAAGGGAAGAGGGGCCAAAGCTGTGGCCAATGTCATATATGCCCTAGTGAGAAACGGCCAAAACCCCTGAAACCTGCCCTCTGTCTTTAACATGAGACTGGATGAGCATCAGGTACAGAAGTCACACAGGCTGACTCCTCAGTGGTCTCCACTGCCTGGAGTAACGGGGAATCGTCATTCCAGCCTGAGGAAAGCATTCCAGCCAGAGCCACAACCGTCACAGCAGAACAAGAGAATCACTGTGCACTGCCGGGAAGCACATAGCACAACCCTCTAGGAAAGCAATTTCCCAGCATCAGGGCCAAGTGTGATCTCCACCACGAGGTGTTAAGGCCAGGCACACTGCGGCCATGGAACACAAGGAAACATTCTAGAATATTCATTACAGCACAGTGACAGCTCCAGCAAGGAACTGACCACATGACTACCAAAATGTAAAAGGATGACTCCTAGGTGACCTATCATGAGACAAGTTGCCCATCCAAGGCCTTTACAGTGCAGAATGCACTACGGCGTGTTCAGATGGCACTGTATCTGTGCACTGTGGCACAGAGGATGTGAGCCACCCAGGGGCTTCCAAAGGACTGCGGCCACCTCAGCCCAACCTAGGGAGGTCAGATGTGGCTCTGTGGAGTGGGCTGATCAGGTGGTGCTGACTTGTCTAGGGAAAGAACGATCAACTATTAGCCTACCGTCTTCTCAGCAGTGAGGGTGGCTCTGCTGATCAAGTTCCCCAGAGAAGCTAGGCTGGGAGAGAGGGGAGATGTGCTAGGTAGATGGCATCATGGTTGTCCTGTGGCCTGACGGGGATGGCTGGGGGACCCCTAACACTGAAAGCTCTGCTTTTCTTGCTAGCCTACCATAGAGCATAAGGAACAAAACTCGTCAAAATAAAAACACTCACTCAAGACCCCAAACTGAGCTGGGCAGTGATGGTGCATGCCTTTAATCCCATAACTCTGGCAGGAGGATCTCTGTGAGTTCAAGTCCAGTCTGGTCTACAAAGTGAGTTCAAGGACAGTTGGGGCTTCATGAAGAAACTCTGTCTCAAAAAACTTAGAAAAACAAAAACAAAAAACCCCAAAAAACAAAAAAAAAAACCCAAACTGGTCAGAGACAAGGCAGGGGCCTGAATCTGGGCCTCCAATGACACAGTCCCTCATCTCACCTGCCACAGCAAGGCTGGGAGGTTGGGCAGCCTCGCGGATCTGATGCCGACAGCATGCCAGCTCCCCGACACTGCCGTAGCAGTTTGGGGTTGGCTGGCTGTGGGGAAAGTCCGGAGATAGTGGTAAGACTATGGCTTCTACAGTGTACCAGGCTACCCGGTGCCGACTGTATGCCAAATCAGGCCAAGCCCTCCACACCCAGCACTCATTAAGCCCACTCTGCAGAGAAAACTGGGGTATTTCTAAGTGACCCTTCTCAGGTTAAACTTCTGGGTCTGTTCCCACACACACACACTAGCCCAGGAGGGCTTATGCACATAGCGCTGTTTCTGACCTTGTGTCCCTTCCTGTCTCTCTTACTCACCTTGCAGAGCTTCCTCAGGGACCTTTCAAGGACAGGAACCCCAGACTGTTGGCACTCTCCCTATCTTACTTCATTTACAGAGCTGAGGCTCAATGTCCCTGGCTGAGGTCTGATCCCAGCCTGCTCCCACGGCAGAGACTGAGCGGGCCCTGTGGGTAGGGCTGTGTGGCTCTTGCCCTCCTGCTGATAGTCCCAGAAGCCAGCACAGTGCCTAACAGTCCCCACCAGGGTACTTGGCAGCCAGCTGGTGTTGCAGGAGCACCGGGAACCAGCAGGAATGCTCATGCCCTCAGGAACCAGGAAGAGGCAGAATGGGCTCTCTCACCGAGGGAGAAAGAAAGTAAAGCCAAGAGCTGCCCAGAGCTGGCCAAGTGTGAGTGACCAAAGTAGGAAAATGACTGGCTAGGACAGGAGGTCAGAGCCCAGGAGGAGGACCAAGTCTCAAACTGAAGAGTTTGGGAGCCACGGACCAGCAGCAGTTTAAAGGGTGGGATCCATTTAAGACCACAGGAAGAGCAAGGCCGGTTAAGAGGGAACTCCTAAGGTCACACCCACCCAACCAGTGTCTCACTGGACTCTGGGCCACCCACCAACATGCCACTCCCATAGGCCCTGTGGAACCTCCCCTCCCAGGTCACACCCTCCCAAGGAGGCTAAACAGACACTCCGTTCCCACCCAGGGAGTGGCTTGGCTGTCTGCTTCCAGGAACAGACCTCCTAGGAAGTGGACAGTGTGGCAGGTAGGGGCAGAAGCTTTGGTCAGCTTCTACCCCGTAGCAAAGCTTTCCTGGCGTTAGTTTTCCTGTCAGGGAAATAGGGGTGTCCTTTAATCCTCAACTCCACCTCACAAGAGGAGGAATGAAAGAAGGCCAGGCGTACCCAGTGCGCTCTCGCGTTAAACATTAACTGGCACCAAGACTCTTTCTTTGAAAGGCAGCAGGCCACAGCAGCACTCGGGGCCGCCGCTCCGGAGCTGGAATCCCAGCTGCTCACCTTACTCATTAGCTGACCTGGGCAAATCACTTAGCGTCTTAATAACAGCTTCGGCCCCAGCCATGCAGTAGTGAGGGCTAAATGAGTACCTATGCAGAGCGGTCGCGCCGAGAGGGGAGCCTAGCCCATCATCAGCGTGTTCCCGATGTTTGGCCTTCATTATTTGTGGGAGGGGGCTCCCTTTCTACTCCCACCACCAGGATGCACTTTTGAAGGCTGTTGGATGCCCCGGCCCCCTCCCCGCTGAACGCGCCCCGCTTGGGTGGGATTTTAGCTTATGACCCTAGCCACCAGATGTTTATCTCTGTACACTCTACCTACGCCCTGTCTCATATACCCCCAAACTTAAAACTCATTCACCTACTCCGCGGGTTGAGACTTTTAAATCGCCAACCAGACCGTCGCACCTTTCTCTTGGCTGTGACCTCTAATCCTTACAGCCACACCCTCTTCTTAAATTACTTTGAGTGCCCCCTTTTATGAGACCTGTTCCGAACCCCTCCTACACGCCCCCACTTAGTGTTTCAAACTTTGCACAAATTTCCAAACACGGCCACGCCCCCTCCGCCGGTCGAGCCTCTCACCGCGACAGCCCCCCTCCCCCTCCCTCATTGCCCGCGACCCTCTTCCTAGCGACCCTTCCACCGAGAGTGAACTTTGACCCCTCCGGCCCCGCCCCCCACAGCCGCTCTCGCACAGCGCGTGCCCGGACCACCCCCCCCCCCCCCCCCACCCCTAACCACAAGCTTCCTGCACGGTAACCCCCTAACCTACCGGCTTGGCGCCGCGGTCGCTCGCGGCCTAGCTACCCGGCCCGGAACTCAGGGCTCGCGCACCGCCTTCAGCTGTCTCGCGCCGCCGCCGCCGCCGCGGCTACTGCCGCCGCCATGTTGAAACCCCAACGAACATCCGGGGCCTCCCCTACTCCTCGCCGCCCACTAGTCCCCATAGCAACGGAGCTGGCCGGGTGGTGGGTAGTGCCTATTCGGGGGCGGGGCTATGCGGCAGGCAGGGCTCCCTGCAGCCGCTGATTGGTGAAGATTGTCCAATCGGAGACCTCAGGAAAAGAATGCGGAGCCGAGATTGGAAAATTTGGAAAAGTTGCGGGGGACGCTGAATCCCCGCCCACTCTGGTTCTTAAAGGGGAAATGACAGCTTTCTTGTCACAGAGATTCCTATCGGCTCCCAAAGAAGTAAAGACGGTGAAAGATTGTAACATAATGGCCAGAAACAGTTCTTACGCACCTTTAATACCTGTGTTAGCACGCGACTGGTTCTGGAATAAGTTGGATATCCCAATCCTGTTGATTTAATTCCCATTTTACAGGTAAAGAAGCAGGTTTAAAGGATGGTACTTGGTTAATGACCTCAGGAAACACGTAGTAAGTTTTGAATGCAGTGACGGCAGAACCTGGGAATCTGACACTACTTGATCTTTTTTTAATTTTCTTTTTAAAAATAATCTTTTGTTATTTTAACATACCAATCCCAGTTCCCCCTTCCTCCTGACTACATGATCTTAATCTTTTAAATAAGTTTGGGTTTGTTTGTTTGTTTTGTTTTGTTTTTGTTTTGATAATTCGTCTCAGATGTGTGAGATGCCTTAGTGGGTAAGATATGCTTACTGCCAAGACTTGAGTTCAATCTCCTGGGCCCACATGGTGGAAGGAGAGAAATGACTCCCACTAGTTCCTCTCTGACCTCCACAAGTGAGCCATAGGCATAAATTAATTAAATAAATAAATGTAATTAAAATTTTAAATTGGTCAATATGGAAAACACTAGGGAAAAGAGACCCATAACCAAATACACCCTTCTGTGGTCTTACTGAAAAATAGAGATGGCTTTCTCACCTGGAGGTTTTTGAGGGTCTTGTTTGTTTTTTTGGGTACTAGGCATTGAACCTAGGCCTGTATAGTGAGAGGCAAGCCTAATAGGTAAGTCACCAGCCCTAGGAGTTCTAGGCAAGTGCTTTACTGCTGAGCCACTTGGGAGTCTGAGATCAGACCTAGCTTTCTCTGCTTCTTGTATTGGCTTTTCCCTCTGTCTGGAAGAGTCTCTTCTTCAAGGTATCCTCCTGCCTCCCACTCCTTCAGGGTGTCTTCTCAGGAGGCCCGGTACCCCACCTTGTGCTACTAAACCCTTTGTCTGCTTCAGCTTATTTTCCTTGGCTGACTCTGGTTTTGTTTGGCCAGCCAGCTTTGGTTTCATGAGACAGGTCTTCAATTTGTAACCCAGGCTGACCTTGAATCCGTCTTTGCTAACCTCGTGGCTACATTCCCAGTGCCTTGTTTTATTGGCATGTGAGTACTCAGTACTATTTGCTGAAGCGATGGTTGAATAAGGGGCAATTCTCCCCTCTAAAGATTCAGTGTGTGCTTATTGCTGCTCTGTGCACCGTGCACGCCAGACACAGAGCAGGCATTTTGTGTATATCTGTGGAAACTATGAATGACAGGCTGCTGCTGAGGGATTCTCTGTCGACCTGTTTTTCTCTCCCTTTCTCTCCGGTTATTTCAGGTTGAACTCAGGGTCTCTGATGCACTTAAGGAGTGCTCTACCACCGAAATGGCAGGCATGTGTCACTATGCCTGGAAGGATGAACAGAATATTATATCTTTTTAAAATTTATTTATTTTATTTATTTTAGCTCTGCATGGTGGAGCACACCTTTAATCCCAGCACTCAGGAGGCAGAGGTCGGTGGATCTCAGTGAGGGAGGCCAGCCTGGTCTACAAAGCAAGTTCCAGGACAGTTAGGGCTACACAGAGAAACCCTGTCTCAAAAAAAAAAAAAACCAAACAAACAAAAAAAGAAAACCACAACTTTTTTTAACTACCTCCTCTGTGTGTGTGTGTGTGTGTGTGTACATGTGGCACACATGTGCATGCAGTGTCCTTAGAGTCCTGAAGAGGGCCCCAGAAATACCTTTAAAACAAGGCATGTATATCAGCAGTGACACTCCCTGTCACTGAATATCTTCAAGAAGATTCATTTTAGGGCTGTCTATTGATGAACTTTAAGTTTCTTAAACACATTTTCTTGTTGAGCTTCCACACTATGGTAAATATTTCGCTTTTATAAACCACCATCCGCACCACCAAGTAGTGGCACAAGCCTTTAATTTTTTTTCTCCTTTTTGGTTTTGTCTATGCTGGGATTAAAGGCGTGCGCCACCAGCCCCGCTATCCCAAGCATTATTATACACCGGGAGTTTTATGCTGAAATGGAATTGCTGGTCTCTAGATCACTCACTGACTGCTCTCTGTTGCCTCCCCATGGTCGGGGTGCACATTACAAGACCGTAAGAAGAATTCACGCTCCATCCCACATTCAAAGTATCCTCTACAACGGTCCCTCCCGCCACTCCTTTTTGTTGTTTTCCCTCCTTTTCACATTTGTTTGTTCGTTTCACTTGTGTACGAATGTGAACCAGATCAAAGAGGATGTTCCCCCCCCTTCCACCATGTGATTCCTGGGGTCGAATTCAGGCCATCGGGCTTGGTGGTAAGCTATCTTGCCCACCGAGCTGCCTCCGCAGCCCTCTCGGGATTTTAACTGAGCTCTGACATCAAAGGCCACGTTCTTAAACACTGCTCACACTGGCTCCGTAAATATATCCACCAAGTCCTCGCTGTGGGCCAGTCACGTTGAACATTGGTAACGCCAACGTTGACGGAGCGTGCTATGCAGCAGTCCCAGTATTAAGCATGTAACAAACACTCCTTAAATTTTGCGGTCGGGCTCTCCCAGGAAGATGTAAAATTAACATCTGCTTCCACGCAGGAATGGTGCGTGCCGATAGCACACAAGTTTATTAGGGTTATTTATGGGGCGGTAGAGAGCTACAAATGACTGCACACCCCTTCAAATCAACCCCCTCCAACTCATCCGATTTCCTATCCCATTTTATGGTGCTCTAGGGTTACCCCAAAATGGTACAAACCAGGGCTTAGATCGCCATCTAGTGTTATAAAAGCTAATTACAGACCTGGGTGTTTTGTGATTATTTCTTGATCCTTCGGGAAGGATGCTGCCGTAGCTGTCAGCAAACGCTGTTTGAGCCTGGGAAGGGTCACTTGTCTTGCTGCAGTCTGGCATGGAGACCAGCTAACAGGTGGTTTGCAAGACTATTATTCTAGATAAGATTGGGAGGGTTGGTGTCACTGAAATCCTCACAAAAATCTGTATGCACTATTGGTTATTCCCATTCAAAAGATGTGCAAAAGAGGCACAGAGAAGGTAAGTAGCTTCTCCAAAATCACACAAGCAGGCTGACTTCAGGGGCTGGACTTCTTTTTTTTTTCCCTGAGAAAAATAGCATGAATAAGATTTAAAAACACAAAATAAAATGATGAATACTAGAAAATATTTTATGTGCCATAAAATACTCCCACCTGGTGATGAAAAGATCGTATAGGGTTGAAGAAACAGGCTATCTGGAGAGCCCCTGCCTAGAATCCCACAGTGAGGGGGTGGGGTGTAGTTCAGTGGTAGAGCCCCTGCCTAGAATCCCACAGTGAGGGGCTAGGGTGTGGCTCAGTGGTGGAGCCCCTGCCTAGGATCCCCCAGGGAGGGAGTGGCTGGCACTCTAGCTGACATGTGGAACATAGATGGCTTGCAAATGGGCTGGCCTGATTGAAAGAAGCCATTTACAAAGGCCAGTACTGCCCAGCTCCACTTCCAGTGTTGCAGGAAAAGCAGAGCTAACCTACAGTGGCAAAAGTAGATTACTTGATGCCAGAGACTGATGGGGGCTGGGGCTGTTTGCTGCAGGGAACCCTGGGAGACAGAAATGTTCTCTCTCAAGCCGGGGTGTGGGACCACTCTCCTCTAATCTCAGCACTAAGGAAATGGAGGCGGAGGATCAAATGTTCAAGTCCACCCTCAGCTGTATAGTGGATTTTGAGGCCAGCTTGAGCTACATGAGAAACAGAACCATGAATCTCACATAGCCTCAACCTAGAACGTATGATCCTCCTGCCTCCGCATTGCAGCCATGAGTCATGCACCAGGCTTCCTTTATCTATTTATATCCATCGATCAATAGGAAGGGCACCATCCTTCCTCCCAGCCTATCCATTCATGCCAGCTGGGCACGCCAGCCACTTAGGTGCTATGCTGGTTATCAGATCACCTCCTGGAGTGTGAAATGCAGGTGGTCAACTACCAATGCCCATGTCCCTTCTCTCATTATGTCACAACCTCACAGGAGAGGAAGAAGGCCAGGAGAGGAAGGGGGTTGGGAAGTCTATGCTGCTAAACTTGGCTATATGTATATGACGGATGGAGTTTCTCAGCTCCAGCTCATTGATTTTGAGGGGGGAGATGCAAATGCTGTTTCTGGCTAAGAGTGGCCCACTTGGGGCTAGAGAGATGGCCCAGCGGTTATGAATGCATTCTCTTCTTACAGAGTTTACAGTTTGGTTCCCAGCACCTCTGTTATGCAGCTCACAATGGCTCCTGCTCCACGGAATCTTGATGCCCCGTTCTGACCTCCTCACCTGTTCAGACACTCACCATTCATTCACACAGACAAACATACATAAAAATAAAATATATAAAAGTGGAGTGTGGGGCCAGGGGAGAGGTGGAGGGCGGGCGCTGCAGAGCTGGCTCCGTGGTCAGCAGCTTACAGTACTTACACACATAGCCACATTCGTGGGCATATCTTTTTAAAACAAATTCTTTTTTTAAAAAATATTTATTTACTTATTATGTATACAATATTCTGTCTGCAAACCAGAAGAGGGCACCAGACCTCATTACAGATGGTTATGAGCCATCATGTGGTTGCCGGGAATTGAACTCAGGACCTTTGGAAGAACAGGCAATGCGCTTAACTGCTGAGCCATCTCTCCAGCCCAAAACAAATTCTTTTTAATATTACTACGGAGATATAACTAGACACAGTTAACTGACGCTTTAAATGTGACCAATCTAGCTGGGCAGTAATAGCACATGCCTTTAATCCCAGTACTCAGGGAACAGTACTGTGAGTTCTGTTGAACTCTGTGAGTTCAAGGCCAGCCTGGTCTACAAGAGCTAGTTCCAGGACAGGCTTCAAAGCTACAGAGAAACCTTGTCTCAAAAAAAAAAAAAATGTAATCAACAGAATCAATTTAATCCCCATTAAAATGCCCATGACATTCTCCAGAGATAAAGCAAAAAAAATGATAATCAAGAATTAAAGAGATGGCTCAGTGGTTAAGAGCACTAGTTGCTCTTCCAGAGGACCCAGGTTTAATTTCCAGCACCCCCTTTGGCGGTTCACAACTGGTTCCAGTTCTCAAAGATCTGCATGCATGCAATGCACAGCCATGCACACACAAGCAAAGCACTCATACACAGAAAATAAAAATAAATCTTTTGAACAAAGCTCCCAATCCACCAAACAATGAAACCAAAAAGCAAATGTACTATCATATGAGGTTTTAATCATAAAAGAGAACTGGGCGCGCGGCTCCTGTGGGAACTCTTTTATCTTTCCAGTTTGTCTGGAAAACCATCCCCCAAGATAAAGCGTATTTCTAAAAATGAAAAGACAGCACAATAGAGATGGTGACGCGGCCATGTTCACTTCAGCGGGCAGGGAAAACAGGTCAGAAACCCTCCTGGGACTCGAGAGAACATTTCTGTGCTCGGCCTGAGTTTCCGATGCAGGCAGGGCACATGGACCAGCTGTGGCAGTGGCCTCGTGCGCGTGAGTCTCCTTCTCACCAGGCTGTGGCTCACCGGGAGCAGAGGCCTGGCGACTGTGTGTGAGGTTCTGGAGGAGTATGCTGGGCTGGATGAGGAAGTTTCCCTTCTGGTTTCCTCCTTCCTGTGTTCTAGAGTTGGCCCTGGGTGGTAGCTAACTGTGGACCAGTGACCTGGGCTGGGGAGGCGCCAGAATCCAAGAAATCCTTGAGGTTCCCAGAAGTCAGATTTTGAAGATGACAAAGAAAAGTCTAAAAAAAAGTGTATCTACATGGTAAATGTTAAGACCTATGTATACTGGGAGGGGTGTGGTGGGGTGGCATGTGGCCCATCACACCAGTACTTAATTAGGGTCAGCCTGGGCTATATAGTGAGACTCTGTACCAGCAAACTGAAACGTAAATTTATATATATATCTATCTCAAGGCCTGCGGTAGTGGTGCAGGCAGTGGCAGTGTACACTTTTAACCCCAGCTCTTGGGAAGCAGAGGCAGATGGATCTCTGTGAGTTTGAGGCCAGCCTGATCTACAGAGAGAGTTCCAGGACAGACAGGGCTACACAGAGAAGCCCTGTCTCAAAAACAAACAAACAAAGAAAAAAATTAAAAAGGCAGCTAGGGAACTGGAGAGCTGGCTCCGTGGTTAAGAGCACTGGCTGCTCTTGCAGAGGACCCAGGTTTGGTTCCCAGCACCCACATGATGACTCACAATCTGCTGTAACTCACACACATAAGATAAAAATAAATAAAAATAACCAGAAAAAAGCAGCCAGGAATAAAGGTGCTTGCCTGTAACTCCAGCTCAGAGAGGCCGAGGTGAGATCACTAGATCAAGGCCAGTCTGTGGAGAAGGAAGCATGTCACTTGCCATGACAAAGAATGGACACCAGGGTGTTTGTCGGCGGCTGGATATGGAGGAAGAAATCGGATTTGGGGTTGAAAAGAAGAAAAGTGAGATAGGAAGGGAGGGGAGAAGAGGGAGGGGAGGAGAAAATACAGGCTGATGAGCTTTCTGCGCCATGCTGCTCCCACAGGCTCTCCTCCCCCACAGACAGATGGAGAAGAGAGGGTCACAAAGGCCCTGTGACTTGCAGTCATCACACAGGAAGTAGCAAAGCTGGGCTTGGCCCCCTGGTGCTGCCTGGCTGTGGACCTTTGTCCTCTGTGGACTCTCCCTGCCAGGCATGTCCACCGCTTGGCCCAGAACATGCCCATTCCGTGGGACCTTCAGTTTCAGTCCACAGTGGCATCCTGGGGTAACTCCACAGCCTGAGCTGGCCCTTCATGACACGCCTTCACTGCTCAGCATTCTCTCCTTAGGCGTCATTCGGGCTGGGTGACCTGGTTCCTCTGCCTGATTCATTGCTGTCCCCGACACGGCCAGGTCAGAGCTTGGCATGTGCTATCCTTACAGGCCTGTGTTGTGCTGGGCCACAATGGACCCTGACCTCCTTAGCGCGGACAGTCCAATAGGAGACTGAGAGACACCCATCCCAGGACAGCAGTGTGGACACAGGGGACACCGAGCACTCCAATCTGACCCAGTAGGATTAGATGGAGGTGACAGACTCCAGTGTCACCATCACAGAGGCCCGAGCCCCATCAGACAGACAGTGGCTGATGACTGAGGCAGACAGTGAAGGCACCGGGGACTGAAGCGATTATGGAGCCCTAGAGATCTGGCCTCAAGGGGGACTCGTCAGAGCTGGCTATAAGGAGGGGACAATAGGAAGGAAGCCTAAGATGGAAGATGTCAACCCTGAGTCAGGCTTGGTGGTGCACACCTAGAATTCCAGCACTTGGGAGGTGGAGGCAGGAGGTTCAGAAGTTCAAGGGCATCCTCAGATATGCTCAGACACAGAGGAAGTCGAGGACCAGCCTGGACTACGTGAGGACCTGTCTAAAAGCACCCTGGGGAGGGGGCTTCCAACCTGGAGACAGTTCAGAGTGAACTCAGAAAACCCAAACAGTGAGCGCATCGGCTTTGCATAGGGAAAGTGCTTGATGTATTTCATGAGCCTTCGACTGGATTACAGGCCACTGAGGCTAAGATCCATGGGCCTTCAACTGGGTGACAGGCCACTGAGGCTAAGATCCACGAGCCCCGACTGGGTGACAGGCCACTGAGGCCAAGATCCACGAGCCTTCTATTGGGTGACAGGCCACTGAGGCCAAGATCCACGAGCCTTTGACTGGGTGACAGGCCACTGAGGCTTAGCCTTGAAAAATGAACCTCTCAGTACAATGGAAGAATAGCTTTGAGGTGATCCACACGTCAGGAATCTGCTGAGGTCAGTCTAGACTGTCCCATGGCTCCATCCAAAGTCCTCACTGTGGCCCACAAGGCTCTTTGTCACTGTTCTGTCCTCTCTCCTTCATTATTGGGTGACAGCCATAGCAGCCTCCTCAGTCACTGGGGAAATGGTGATCTGCCTTAGGGCCTTTGCGCTGGCTGCATCTCTGCTGGTACATCCTTCCTGCCTTTCCTGCGTTCCTTATCGTCAGCTCTAGTCCAAATGTCACCGCCTCTCTGAAAACGGACACTGCTCCTCTTTCCCCTCCCGAGCACTTATCCCTTGTAAGCTGGTCGCTGTGCAGGTCCATGTCCACGCTGCGAGGGCAGAGATCTGTCTTGTTCCATTCCTGTCGCATGATAGATGCTCAATGAATTTAGGTGGGATGCATAAAAGGACGAAGAAAAAAAGAGGGCATTGAGGGGAGAAAGGAGCAGATCTGTGTGCTCCCGAGTCTCGTCACTGTGCCGTGGGGGAGCCAACAGTCTTAGCCTTTTCTCTCTGCCTGGAGAAGATAGTGCTGGCTGGGAAACTGAGGCACAGGGGGACATTAAGCAGCACATCATGGGCCAAACCAGGGACCACATGCAAGTCAGGGTGGGAAGACAGAGTGTAACCCTGCTGGCAGCTCCTTCATGAGGGTGTATCCACCTTGCTGGTCCCAGTGTAGGACACCCTTCCGGTGAGGGCAAGCGGAGAGGTGGCCCAAGTGGAAGTTTGAGTCCAGGGAGCCAAGACAGTAAGCCTCTTTATTCTGAGGTCCATGGGTCCCCTGCCCTGTCAGAGCGATGCCGGAGGGCAGAGCCATGTTAACAAAGCACCTGCCCTCCCTCTCCAAGTAGTCTGGGCTCCCACCTCTCCAGGAGGTGAGAGCCGTCTGGCCTCTGTCAGGGCTGCACCCTCAGGCTTCTGGATGGGGGGAGTGGGGTCCTGCCCTGACTCCCCGCCCAGGCCAGGGTAATGCCTGGTCACGGCAGCAAAGTGTCTTTGTGTGGGAAGCCGTGGTCTTAGTGGTACATCATCCGGCCAAGCAAAGGTCTAACTATCCAGAAGTCGTCCACAATCTTCCCATCCTGTGGAGACCAGAAACAGGAGACAGTGAGGAAGGAAGTCTGGCCTGCAGGGCTAGCTGGTGGGGGTTCAAATCCCACCACTGCCTCAAAGGCTCGATGACCTTGGATAAGTTCCTACGGCTCTCTGAGCCTCAGTTTCCCTTATTTGAAAAGTCAAGACGAAGCCAGGGGTGTGGTGTGGTACACACCAGTAACGCCAGCGCTTGGGAGGCAAAGGCAGGAGGATCTGTCTCAGGTCAGCCTGGGCTGTGTGTAATAACACTCCGTCTTAACCTCCCGCCTGAGGCAGTAGTAATGTGTTATCTCTAGTGATTGGTATTTTGTTTGGTTGTTTGTTTGGTTTTCTGTTTTGTTTGAGAGAGGGTTTCGAGTCACGCGGCCAGCCTTGAGTTTGACTTTGAACGGCTCCTGCTCTGTCTTAGGTGCTGGACTTACAAGACTGAGCCACCATTTACGCCGAGCTGAGGATCAAACCCAGGACGTCATGTGTGCTAGGCTCTGTGAGCTGAGCACATACCCAGCTCATCTGGACTATGTCCCCAAGAGCCCGTACTCCAGCATATCCAGTGTCCATGCTGCCCTAAGCACTTGTCTCTGCTCAGCGGCTGTAGCGAGAACTCTAGGATAGGGCAGCTACACGGCCACGGACAGCTGAGACGAGGGCACACAGGGCGTGCACTGCTTGGTAAGTGATCATTGTATGTGGAAAGATGTGGTCTGTGGGCGAGATTCCAGCTCTGCTATCTGGATTCTGTGTGACCGTGGGAAAATCGCTTTCTCTCACTATGAAGTGGAAAGAATCCTGTCCCTGTGGGAATCACTGTGAGGGGCAAATTGCTTACACTCAGTATAAGACAGTCCAATCCCATGTCTGGAACACAGCAATGCTCACTAAACTCCAATTTTTATTTTTGTTTGGTGTTTTGTTCTTTTCTTTTTGAGGTAATGTCTAGCTATGAAAGCCCATGCTGGTCTTGAACTTGTGTTCTGATCCTCCTGCCTTGCAGGTACACCAGTGCACCTAGCTTACGACGATTTTAAAACCACCATGAGGAGTGGTTGAAGAAATGCCTCAGTGTCTAAACATCTTGCCACACAATCATGGGACTTGAGTTCAGATCTCACGTGCCCATGTAAAAGCCAGGCCTGGGACTAGGGATGGCTCCAGAGTTAGGAGCATTTGTTCCATACTCATGAGGACAGGATCTGGAGTCTCAGCACGCAGTAAAAGGCCCATTACTCTGTGTGTGCCTGTAATCTGTTTCCAAGGAAGGTGGAGACAGGAGACTATGGGGTACCCGACTGCCAGATTAGCCGAGGCTAGAGCCTCAGGTTCAGGAAGAGACCCTGCCACAAAGGGATTGGAGAGTGACCAAGGAAATCAACCGAGTATCCTCCTCTGGCCTCCATGTGCATAGATGCACATACCCAAACACACTGTATGTATACATCCACATGCCCCTCCCCCCCACTAGCTAAAAAGAACAGCCGTGGGGCTGGAGAGTTGGCTCAGGAATGGAGAGTTCTTACTAGTTTTGTGGAGGACCGGGATTCAGTTCCGAGAGGCTATCACTACCTATAACTCCTCTCCAGGAAGTCCAATGCCTTCTATGACCTCCACAGACATCTGCAGTCGTGTGAAGCATGTGTGTGCACAGGCAAACACACACACTAAAAACTAAAATATATCTTTTTAGTTTTTTTAAAGGCAGACCTGTAACCCCAGCCCTGTGAGGAAGAACACAGAGACAGACAGGTCTTATGGCTAGCTGCTCTAGCTAAAACAGTAAGCTCTGACGTGGTGGTTCGGAAGAAAATGGCCCTCACAGGCTCATAGAGAGTGGCACAATTAGAACATGTGACCTTGCTGGAGTAGGTGTGGCTTTGATAGAGGAAGTGAGTCACTAGGGGGTGGGCTTTGAGGTCTAAGAAGTTCAAACCAGGTCCAGTGTGGCATTCTTTTCCCCGCCTATGGATCAACATGTAGAACTCTCAGCTCCTTCTCCAGCACTATGTCTGTCTGCGGGACAGATATCACAATAATGGACTAAACCTCTGCACTGTGAGTCAGCCCCAGTTAAATGTTTTCCTTTATAAGAGTTGTCTTGGCCATGGTCTCTCGTCACAATAAATAAAACCCTAATTAATTCAAGCTCAGTGAAAGATATCATGTCAAATAAGACAAAGGTTGGGGCTGAGAGGGTGATTCCATGGTTAAGAACCTGGCTGCTCTTTTAGAGGACCTGGGTTCAATTTTCAGCACCCATACGGCAGCTCACAACTGTCTGTAATTCCAGTTCCAGAGGATCTGACACCTTTACACAGGCACACATGTGGGCAAAACATCAATGCAAGTAAATAAATCATAAAAGAAAAAAATCTTTAACTCCAGTTCCAGGGGCTCTGACGCCCTCTTCTGGCCTCTTTGGGTACTGCATCCATGTGGTACACACACATATACGCAGGCAAAGCCCCATACACATAAAATAAAAACAATTAAAACTTTTTTAAAAAAGACGGAGATAGTGGAAGATCCTCAAGGGTGATCTGTAGCTTCCACACATGCCTACATGGGTGAGTGTGCGCACGCACACACAGAGGCAGAAATAAACTGGACTGTCACTCTTCAGGTCTACCACGCATACATCCTCCTCACTCCCGTCAGCTACCTGTTCTTTCTTCTGCTTCAAAGTGACTAACCCTTATCTAACTTCCCACTGCCAGGTTATACTCTCAGTACTTTATGTGTTGTTACACGGCCAGGGTACCCTGTGAACCAGAAGCTGTGGTAGACCCCGGATATGAAAACTGAAGACCACAGAGGTCAGGGAAGTTATTCAGGGTCTCATGGCTGGTAGGAAGCACAGGCAGGATGTGAACCCAGGCTTCCAATTTTAGTGTATATATATTTTTTCTCTTCTGAGCTCATGATTACCCTATGTAGCCCAACTGACCTTGAAATTTAGGTCCTATTGCTTCAACCTCCCAACTCTTTATGCTTTTATTTTATTTTGTGTTTTGTTGTTCTTTTCAGAACGAGAGATTGAACCTGAGGCCTTTCACATTAACCAGTGCTCTATTGCTGAGTCACACCCCCAGCTCCTCACTGGGGATTCTAGGCAGGGGCTCTACCACTGAACCACACCCCAGCTCCTCACTGGGGGATTGTACTGTAACATCCAGCCATGGCCCTAATTCTTCTGCCTCAGTCCCTCAAGCGTTGGGATTACAGGTGTGCCTCACCATACCCAGTGTATTGATTTACTTTTTTGTTTGTTTGGTTTAGAGACAGGATTTTTCTGTGTAGCCCTGGATGCCTTGAAATTTGCTTTGTAGACTGGACTGGGCTTGAACAGAGATCTGCCTGCCTCTGCCTCTCAAGCCCTGTGATTAAAGGGGTGCACCACCATGAACAGCTTGATTTACTTTTGAGCCCAAGGTCTTAACCACTCAGCTCCCACACACCCTCGACCAGGCTGTGCAGTTTGTAACCCATGCCCGACAGACCTGGTCGTCAGACACCTGCTGGATGTGCATGTGGGTGCCGTTAAGGATGTGCATCCGCGTGTACCCGTACTCCTTCACACGCATGGCGCTCCACGGTCTGGCTTTTATAGTAAAGGGAGTCAGCAACTCTTCACAGCCCTGTGGAAGACAGCGGGTGAGATAGCACAGCACCTGGGGCAGCAGAAAACACACCCGGCCAGGGCTCTGCGGCATCCAAGAGCTACAACTCAGTCCCAGCGCGTGGGAGGTGGAGACAGGAGGATCCCAACGTTCAAGGCTAGCCTGGTCTGCGTAGTCAGGTCCAAAGCAGCCTGGATTATATAGACCCTGTCTCAAAAATAAATGGGGGCAGGGCAGTGGTGGTGCAGGCATTTAGGCCTTTAATCTCAGGGCTTGGGAGGCAGAGGAAGCCAGATCAAGGCCAGCCTGGTCTACAGAGTGAGTTTCAGCATAGCCAGGACTACACAGAGAAAACCTGTTGTGAAAAACAAAACAAACAATACCATAAAATAAGCTGGGAGCTGGTAAGATGGCTCAACAGATAGAGGCACCCTAGCAACCTGAGCTTGGTCCCCAGAACCCACACAGTAGGAGAGAACCCACTCTAGGATGTTGTCTCTCACTTCCAGATGTGAACCCTGCACGCCTACACAAAAATAAACAGTAACAATAGTAATAACAACAACAAAAGGAAATTAAATGAACTGGGCTGGGGTTGTAGCTCAGCTGAAAGAATGCTTGCCCAGCGTGCACAGCGCTCTAAACTCAGGCCCTAGCACAACACAAAACCTTTCATGGTGGTTCAGGCCTTCTAATCTCAGCACTTCAGAAGTGGAGGCAGAAAGATCAGAAGCCGAAGTCAGGGGCTGGAGAAGTAACTTGGTGGTTAAGATCATTGGCTGCTCTTGCAGAGAACCTGGGTTTGGCTCCCAGAACCCACATGGCAGCTCACAACCGGCTGTAACTCTCATTCTAGAGATAGGCTGCCCTCTTTTGGTCTCCCCGGGTATTGCATGCACATGGTGAATGAACCCTAGATGCAGCCCTAGATGTGTACCTGTCTCAGTCAGCTCACAGCTGCCCGATGTGGGTGCTGGGAACTGAACTCTGGTACTCTCCAAGAGTTGTTTGTCTGTAAGTCCATGGTGGCCTCAAATTTGCTATGCAGCCAAGGATGACCCCGAACTCCTGATTCTCCTGCTTCCACTCCCAAGTGCTAAGAGTGTAGGCTACTCCGTGATGGCTAGCTTTATTCTGTGGTTTTGGTTGTCTTATTGTTATTATTTTTAAATTACAGTTATTCAGTGTGTGTGTGTGTGTGTGTGTGTGTGTGTGTGTTATATTCTCTTTCCACATGGGGACCCTGGGACTTGAACTCAGGCCATCAGGTTTGGCAGCGAGCACCAATACTCACTCAGGCTCTCTCTTTTTTTTTTAAACATTTATTTATTTATTTATTTATTTATTATGCATACAATATTCTGTCTGCATGTATGCCTGCAGACCAGAAGAGGTCACCAGACCCCCATTACAGATGGTTGTTAGCCACCATGTGGTTGCTGAGAATTGAACTCAGGACCTTTGGAAGAGCAGGCAGTGCTCTTAACCTCTGAGCCACCTCTCCAGCCCCACTCAGGCTCTTTTTTGCCTTTTGAGATAAGGTCTTGTGCTGTAGCCCAGGCTGGTCTAGAACTCACGGATCTTGCAGTCAGGACAGTCCTCTGACTCCAGCATCTGGAATGCTGGCGTCACAAGCACATACCACCAGTCAGGGCTTCCAACAACTGCGGTTTACCTATCTGTGACCACTATGTTTCCTACCCCGGCCTCCGTGTCCCCATCTGTGTGACGAATACACCATCAGCAGCACCCAGTCAGAAGTCTAAACTAGTCTAAACTAGTCCCTTCCCACCTGCTCACCGCAGATCCTGTGATGATGTGAACTGGGCCCCGGGGATTCGTATAGGGCTTCTCCAGGCTGCCATTAAACACCTGGAGGAAAGGACAAGGTGGGTGGTGGGTCACAACTGGCCAGGCCCTGGCGAGGGTCTGACCACATGAGCACCAATCGTTTGGTCCTGTGTCCTCCTTGGGCCTCACCTGGTAGTTGTAAATTGGCCAGAGCCGTTCGTAGGAGTGTTCATGAGCCCAGAACTCCAGATCTACACCTAAGGCAGGAAGAATGATGTTCAGGCTCCTGGGTGGAGAGAGGTAGGGCCGGGGACTCCCCAGGGTCACTCACCATATTTATGGAAAAGGTCCTCTAGCCCAAACAACTTGCCTTGGAGGCCTTTGCGGACCTGTTGGGATGAGCGGGGAGGTGAGGAGGCCCGTCCTCCCTCCAAGTCTCACTGCCACCCGGGGAAGGGACCTCACCCTGCTTTCGTGTCTCGTGCAGTCATCCAGATCGGCGTTGGAACAGTACATAGGCCGATGACCCATCGTGATGATCCATGGTCGAGCAACCCGGTTCTTATTGGCTTTCTAGAGGAAAGAGGCCTGAGTGAAGGACAGCCCAGGGGCTGAGAGGCCAGAAGGGACTTGGACCGGGGCCTACCTGAAGGTCATTCTCCAGCCAACGGAACTGCCTCTCCACCAGGTGGCGGCCATAGTGGAGAAAGAAATACACCTCAGTGGAGAAGGAGATGATATGAGCAGGACCTAGGTCCCAGCTGCAGGGGTCAAAAGACAAGGGTCAGAGATTGGAAGTCTGCACCGCCCATCCTTCAGGGGGGTCAGTCCCCAAGCCCCCACCCTCAAAATCCCTCCGAATTACCTGTACCATAAGCCTTCATTGTCCCCTGGCATACTAAAGCGAGCCTTGTAGTTGGAGAAATTGCTGGAAAAAAAGGAATTATAAAGAACAAGGGGTAAGAACCTGGATTCAGCAGCCTCCGTCTCTCAACTTCCCGGCCAGAGTGTGGCTCCCAGTCCACCCTTTCTTTATTTCTTCTTTCTCTACTAGATGAGGCCCCTGCAGCATGAGGAACTTAAGTAAGACTCTGAGAAGGGCACAGCTGTTTTCTCTAGTCTGGCTTTTGCCCACCATACTCACTAGCGTTGTTCGTGATTTCCAGGGCATGTCATGTAAGGTAGGCTGGCCGCGACCGGTTCGATGAGCCGCATGAATCTGTCCCCAACGCGAGCATTGTCCTGGTCCATGTTGTAGGCAAAGTCTCCTGGAGGGTATTCGAGAATGGGAGAGAGTAAGGCCCAGGCTCTGCTTCCTCTAGGATCAAGACCTAGTGGGTCCTAATCCCTGCCTAGGACCTTTTCATGTATGAGCTGACACAGCGCCCAACTCTATGTCTTGTTGGCTCCCACGACACAGCTGGGTCTGGTTTGATGCTGATTTTTAGCAAGCAAACTATTTCTTTTATTATCAATAGGGATTGACCCCAGAATCTTCTGAACAGAAGGCAAGTGCTCTATATTTACTGGCCCCTCACTGGGGGATTCTAGGCAGGGGCTGTACCACTGAGCCACGCCCCAGCTCCTCACTGGGGATTCTAGACAGGGGCTCTACCACTGAGTCACACCCTCAGCCCCTCACTGGGGATTCTAGGCAGGGGCTCTACCACTGAGCCACACCCTCAGCCTCTCACTGGGGGATTCTAGGCTGGGGCTCTACCACTGAGCCACACCCTCAGCCTCTCAATGGGGGATTCTAGGCTGGGGATCTACTATTGAGCTATGCCCCCAGCCCCTCACTGGGGATTCTAGGCAGGGCTCTACCACTGAGCCACATCCCCAACTCTTGCTTTTTTTTTTTTTTTTTTTTTAACCAGGTCTCACTAAGCTGTTCAGACTGGTATTGAATTCTGGGTAACCCTCCTGCCTCTGCCCCTTCACTGCTGGGATTATAGACATGTGCACATGTGCTACCATGCCTATTCATCTTAATTTATTTACTTAATTTATAGTAACATTTCTGTGTATTCTGAATGAGCCTTACATCTCATAACAATAACAATAAAAAACAACAACAACAAAAGGAAATCAGAGCCAGAATCGGTATGGACCAGAGCCGAAGTCTTAACCTCGGACCTCATATGTGGAGTCAGCCTCGGGTCCCACCCTCAGCCCCCAGCCACGTCCCTTCTGAAACACCCCAGCAGCACCCAGCCCATCCCAGCACTGGACTGATAGGCACCCAGGCCTCCAGCCTCCAGGTGCACCCTCGCCGGTGCCTCACCCACATGGAGCACCGCATCAAACATGCCCTGCTGGGTGTCTCTCCGTAGTCTGGGCAGGGCCCTGGCATTGTCAGCCCCCATATCCCCAAACACAGCCAGGCGGGGGCTCCAGTGGACCCCTTTCTTCAAGGCCGTGAAGCGAAACCGCCGGCTCCAGCCCTGAGCGCTGCCACAACGGTAAACTGAGGGAAGAAAAAAACCAGACCTCTGTCAGCTGGGGAGGCAGGGACCAGGACCTTTCCACCAGACCTCACCCTCAAGCCCTGGAGAGGGAGGGAAACACAGAGACATCGCTGCCATCATCATTACTATTATTATTAATGATGAAAACTAACCTGGGCTACCTGACAACGTCTCAGGTAGCCCAGGCTAGTCTCCAGCTGTCTATGAAGCCCAGGATGAGAATTTCGAATCTTCTTGCCTTCTTCCAAGTGCTGGGATCAAAGGCCTGTGTTATCACACCTAGAATCATATCTCAGGGTCTCATGCGTGGCAGATGAATCACCAGCCCAGCTCAACTACAGGTCTGGATAGCTTCTAGAACATACCTCCCTCCTGCCCACCGATAACCCTCTCACCATACTGGGCCCCGGGCAGCAGCTTCCGAAGTGTCACACGGTGAATGTAGAGCTTACGCCGCAGAATGCCCCCATCCACGAAGGTGCTGGCGGTGCCATGGGCTCGGAATGGGAGCGGCCCAGACAGGTGCATGCCGAACTGCACCTCCGACCGCGCTGGAGCCCACGTGGTCCAGGTCACAGTCATGGAGCCCGGCTCACCTGGGAAGAGAGGTCAGAATGGAGCCTGGGGAGGGCTATCAAGCAGGAAGAGGGGGCACTTAGCAGTCAGTCCACGCCCCCCGTTATTGCTGAGCGGGGCTTCTGTTGAGAGTGGCTTGGCCTCCCCGAACCTCAGTTTCCCCGTATGTGAAACCGAATAGGGTTATCTATCCTCCAAGATTGTGAGGAAGCAAGAATGCAGGCAAATACAATTGGCAAGGTGCATCCTGGGTTACATACAGGTCCTGGAATTCAATCACCTACGGGTTGAAAATGCTCCGGGGAGAAAAAGAAATATCAAAACACTCAACCATTGTGACCCAAGTTCATCCCCCAAACACACATGGCTTCCAATGTTGTCCTCTGAGTCGGGTGCTTTTTAACCCTAAGAGAGGAAGGCAGATGTCTGTGGGTTGATGACGGCTTGGTCTTCATAGTGAATTACAGGTCATCCAGGGCTGCATAGTGAGGTCTAGTCTTAAAAAGAAAAAAAAAAGACCTTTGACCTCTACATGTGTGCTGTGGCATAGTTGTGCCTACCTCCCACATAAACTAAATAATAAATAAATTTATACCAATATTTTAAGACTATTTGGGGAAGGTGGAGAGATTGACTGCTCTTCCAGAGGACCTGTATTTACTTCCCAGCACCAAGTCTGTTCACAACCATCTGTAATTCCAGTTCCCAGGAATCTGATGCCCTCTTCTCATCTCTGAGGACACCTGACATGTATATGATTCATAGACATATATGCAGCCAAAGCACAATACACATAACATAAAATAATAAAGACAAATTTCTGGGCGTAGGCCTGGGGATGTGGCTCAGTGTGTAGAGCGCCTTCCATGTGCTCTCAGCCCTGGGTTCCATCCCCAGCATCATGGGTGCAGCATCCGGAGACTGAGAATTGGAACTTCTTGGCCAGCCTGGGCTACATGACAAATTCTGAGCTAACCTGGGCTTCATAGCAAGGCTCTGTTTTTTTTTGTTTTTTTGTTTCTTGTTTTTTTTAAAATCAAACTTGAAGGAGGGAGGAACACACAAGCCCAGCCCTTCCCTAAGGATTTATTCTGCTGTGGTATGGCTCGTGCTCCTTTGAATAGCCATTCACCCATGCTCCTGTAAGCAACCCTAAGGAAACTCACAGGGTTGGACACATGCACACACGCATGTGCACACACATGCATGTACACACACATGCACACATATACACTTACATGTGTGGACACACATGCATATACACATGCACACACACGTGAGCATACACACGCATGTGTGCCTACTTGTGCACAAAAGACTTTAAAGTAGGAGGTCTAGTTGGAAGAGGAAAGGGACCAATGGAGGTGGGGGATGGAACAAGAGAGGGTGAGGGGGTAGGTGAATGAACCCATATACATTATATACATGTACAGAAATATATACATTACACACATTAAACACATGTACAAATATGGGTCAGGCAGTGGTGGCACATGCCTTTAATCCTAGCCCTTGAGGCAGAAGCAGACAAATCTACATGAGTTCGAGACCAGCCTTGTCTACAGAATGAGTTTCAGGACAGCCAGGGCTACACAGAGAAACCCTGTCTCGAAAAAAATAAACAAACAAAAAACAAAAAAAGAAAAATTTAAGCAAATAAATAGAAAAGAGAAAATGTCATTACAAAGCTTCTGACGTGTGATTAATATAAACTAATTAGGAAGAAGACAAAACAAACAAGAAGCGTGGCAGGTACAATAGCTACTTTCCAGAACACTGTGCTAAGCACTGAGTCACAGACGTCTTACTGTGTGCTGGGGCTCTGCAAACACCACAGCCTTGTGCTTTGTAGGTGACCTCGGGTTTGGCATCCTGAGAATGCCCTGGTCGTCATCTTTAGTGAACAGGAGAAACAACCTTAGGCAAAGGACTCGCAACAATGAGATTTACAGGCTGAGTCAATGTCCCTATTCTTCAGTGTGTGCTAGCCTGCAGCCAACATTGCATGGGCATGATGTCATCTGAGAGCTCCGCACAGGTATCTGGAGGCCAGCTAAATAATAAAGTGGGGAAGTGGGGACAAAGGCCAGCTATAGGGCAGGTCTGCAGGGAGGGACAGGATCTCATACTGTATCCCAGACAGCCCAGAATGGCCTTGAACCTGCAGTAATCCTCCTGCCTCAGCTGGGATAATAGGAGTGAGTCACCATGCTTGGCTCTAGAGTAAATTTGTACATAATGGCTTTTATATCATAGGTCAGGTTCTTTAGAGTTGGCCTCTAATTCTCTTCTCCTCTCTCTCTCATGCATGAACACATACACATACACACAGACACAAACACACAGACACATACACACACACACACACACACACACTAAAATTAAAAGAACCTGAGGTTGGAGAAATGGCTCAGTGGTTAAGAGCACTGGCTGCTCTTGCAGAGGACCTGGGTTCAGTTTCTAGTACCCAGACAATGGCTCACAGCTACCAGTGAGTACAGGTTCAGGGGATCCATCACTCTCTTCTGGCTTCCAAGAGTACTGAATACATATGGTATACACACACACACACACACACACACACACACACACACACACACACGCTCATAAATGCACAAAACTTTAGAGAACATTAAAATCAGCCAGATGTGAAAGGAAAGTAACACAAGCTCGTGGCTATATTACACAATGAGTGACGTCAACACACTGAAGGGAGTGGCGGGGGCGGGGTTGGGGGAGTGGCGGGGGCGGGGTTGGGGAGTGGCGGGGGGGGGCCCGGGGCGGGGCGGTGCATGGGAAGTAGAGTCTTAACGGACTGAGGAGGCTAGCAGTAAGTCGACCATGACAGCACAGTCACTTGGTCAATCAGGCCTCTTACGCAGGAAGAAAGGATTTTCTTTTCAGGCACAGGAGAGTTCAGAGCTTGAGACATATTAGGCAAGTTCCACAGACTTACATTGTCTGCCCACCACTACTCCCAAGCCATGCAAATTCCAAGAGACCAAATCTGGGACCCAGGAAGAGCAATAAGCAATGATAGTACCAGATTTCCACCCAGAGAATGAAAAAATATTCACAAGTCTGGCATGGAAAGAAATCATTGAATACATAAATGAAGTAGGCAAGAGGGAGGGACAGCTCTTCCTAACACTAAATTTTAATTAGATGGGAAGGAACAGCTGGGGTCATGGCTTCGTGGTCAAGTGCCTGCCTCGAATCCACCCTTCCCCATTGAGGGGCAGCAGCATGGCTCGGTGGTAGAGCCCCTGCCTAGAATCACCCAGTTCTTGCCTAGCGGGTGGGAGGCTAAGATTCATCTGTACTCATACAAAAGAGCATTTTTTACATGTATATGTATGGAAAGAGGGAATAAGAAAATTAAAAACTCCCAATTAGGCAAGCACAGCACTAAGAATCACTGCTGTTAGGAGCCACCGATGGAGGCTAAAACAAACTAGTGGGTGAAAATTTGTGGAGCAACAGGACTTGCTTCTTCTTGAGCAATCTCTCCCCAAGCTATTCATTAGTTACAGAGCAAAGAATAAAGGCCCTACAGTGGATAGACCCAGCAGGCATCTGCTTAAGCAGCCAGTGAATCAGGGTCAGCACCAGCGGCGGCTGTAATAATGCCTGTCTCCACCATGGACCCTCCAGTGCCACGTGCGGAGAGAGACCCGAAGCTGTCTTCTCTAACACACCCTTGAAACAACAGCGAAGAGACCTGAAAGAGCGAAGCTTCACAAAACCACTGACCGACCGACACTCAGAAAACACAAAGGTCACAAAAGATCAAGACTTCGGTGCTGGCTGCAGGGGTGCGCATCCCAGTGATTCCAGCACCAGGGAACCTGAGGCAGGAGGTTTTCTAGTTTGAGGCCAGCTTGAGCTACAGATCCAAAGCACAGCGGGAGACTAAAGCTGCACCTTCCCCAAGCCCAGGTGGGATCCTGCAGTAAAATCAGTGGTGACCTTGGGGACATTTGAGTGAGGTCTGTGCTTTAACCAGACCGCGCCAGTGTCCATTCCCTGCCATTGGATCCTCCGGAACTGGAGTTACAGATGTGTGAGCTGCCACGTGGGTGCTGAGAACTGACCCAGGTCCTCTGGAAGAACAGCCAGTGCTCTCAACCACTGAGACATCTTGTCAGGCCACTCAAATTTCAATTTTTAATAATCCTACCACTGTTATTTAAGATGTTATCTTTCTAGGCTACATGGAGATTCAAGGATAGTCTGAACTACATAAGATCCTGTCCCCAAACCAACAACAAAAGGATATCAGAAGATATCAGAGGCCTGGAGCAATGGCTCAGTGGCTAAGAGAACTGGCTACTACTCCAGAGGACCTGGGTTCAGTTCCCACCACTCACGAGGGCTCACTACCACATGTAACTCCAGTTCTAGAGGGATCGGACGCCCTCTTCTGGACTCCACGTGCACCAGGTTCACACAGTGGTGCACAGACATACACATAGGCAAAATACTCACACTCATAAAAGTTAAAAATAAATTATTAAAAAAATGAGGACTTCATCCAGGCTCATGGTGCACACCTTTAATCATGCACCTGGTGGGCAGAGGCAGGTGAATCTCTGTGAGTTCAAGGCCAGCCTGGTCTACATAGTGACTTTCAGACCAGCCAGAGCTTCAAATTGAGACTGTCTCAAAATAATAATCAATCAATCAATCAATCAATAAATGAATAAGGGATCCAAAATATAGTATGCCCACAAAATATTTTTGAAAGAAAAAAAAAACCCCACTAACCTTAAAAGGAAAAAAAGAAATAAAAACATTAAATATGGTTAGTGGACTCTGTTGGTATTAACATTATTCTAGGTTGTGTGACCTACTCTAACTCAGCAAGTCTCCGTTTATTATTATTATTATCATTATTATCATTATTATCAATATCATTATTGTCATTTTGTTTTAGAGGCAGACTCACTGTGCAACCTTGGTCGTCCTGGAACTCACTCTGCCTCCCGAGTGCTAGGGTTAAATACTATTATTATTTCTGAGACAAGGTCCAGGCTGATCTTGAACTGACCATCCTCCTGCCTCATCCTGCAGAATACTGCAACTGCCGACAAGTGCAACCAGGCCTAGGTGACTTTACTGCCTTAGGAATTCCTCCAGAAGTCTCAAAACATTTCAAATGTAAAAGCTTTACATTCGTGTTTTGTTTTTGTTTTTATTTTTTGAGACAGGGTTTCTCTCTGTAGCCCTGGCTGTCCTGGAACTTGCTCTGTAGACCAGGATGGCCTTGAACTCACAGAGATCCTCCTGTCTCTGCTTCCCGAGTGCTGGGATTAGAGGCATGCACCACCACCACCTGGCAAAGCCTTAAATTTGTGACCAACAAGAAGCAATCATATATTACATTTTGGGGTAGTTCCGAAGAAAAGGAGCCACCGTTACCCCGACTGCGTCAAGTTCTTGTCCTCAGCTTCTGCCCATCACTGAGGGTGCACTTCCTTCCTCTCAGCAGCCAGAGCGGCTGATCCAGACAGGCTGGACAGGAAGTAGTCCAGGAGAACCCCACATCTACTCAGACTAACATTACAGAGACGTAAGGGCTGCTGAGATAGCCCCGTGCATAAAGGCATCTGCCACCAAACTGGCAACCCTATCAAGCCACAGGCCTTCCGACCTCCACCTGTGTGCACACAGCAGGAAACCCAAAAGGTTTAAAAGGAAGATTTGGAATCACCAAGTCAGTAATATTCCCACCACTGACCTCCACACAAGTCGTGCTGCGTGTGCGTACACGGACACACACTCAGCAATAAAAATTTTTATAATCCAATGATTTAAAAATATGGGCTTGTGAGATGGTTCAGTGGGTGAAGGGGCTGCCACCAAGCCTGATGATGGGAGGTCAATCTCCAGGGCCCACATGGTGGAAGGAGAGAACCGACTCAGAGGCTCTCTGCCACACGCACACTAAGTGATAAATAAATAAAACGTAGGGTTTTTTGTTGTTGTTGTTGTTGTTGTTTGTTTTGTTTTGTTTAAAATTTGTGTAAGACAATAGCATTTTCACTAACTTTCTTCTTTGGTAAATACAGTTCTCATTCAGTAAAAATGACATTTACACTGGAGGCCCTTGTTACTGCTTTCTTCTGAGGAGCTTTGTTTCGGCACTGCTGGGGGTGAGCCCCAGTCATGTGTGCCAGGCAGCGGCTCCATCATCGGTTTCAACCCAGGCTCTCAGTTTCCCTTCCCTCCCACTCTCCCTCCCTCCCTTCTCTCTCTCTTTTTTCTTTTTGTGGACAGGACCCGCTTCACCCAGTCCAGTCGAGCCTTCTGCTCGCTCGCTGAGTGGCTGAGGATGACCACAAACTCACAAACTGCTCCTCCTGCTTCCTCCCCCTGAGTACAGGGTCATAGGAGAGCGACACTATACCTCGCTGGGGTTTCCCTTCCTTTCTTTTGTTTTCTTTCTTTCTTTCTTTCTTTCTCCCTTTCTTCCTTCCTTCCTTCCTTCCTTCCTTCCTTCCTTTCTTTCTTTCTTTCTTTCTTTCTTTCTTTCTTTCTTTCCTTCTTTCTTTCTTTTGTTAGGGTCTCACTGTGTAGCCCTAGGTGGCCTGGAACCTCCTATATAGACCAGGCTGACCTCAAACTCAGAGATCTGTGTTCCTCTGTCTCCCGGGTGCTGGAATGAAAAGAGTGTACCTCTATGCTTGGCCTAAATTTTTATTTTTAATATGATGAGTATGGAGATGTGAGATTATATGTACATCACACACACACAAACAAACACACACATCACATAAGCCAGGTATGGTTGTGCCCACCTCTGAGTTCACCTCTTGGGATGCTGAGGCAGGAGGATTGTGAGTTCAAAGCAAGTCTGAGCTGTATGGTGAAACCATATGAAAAGAGAGGTTACAATTTCCCTCACACGTGGAATGTGTGTGCGTGTGTGTGTGTGTATGTGTGTAATCTTAATCCACAGAAGTAGAAGAGAGACTAGAAGGGAGAGGAAGCCATCTACAAGGGAGGGGCAGGACAGGATGAGAGAGATAAAGAAGACAAACAGTCCATATCCTCTCTCATATGAAGGCTCTGAACTGACCAACCACATATGCATGTGTGTACACCCGTATGAAAGCGGAAAGGAGATTATTTGAGGAGGAGCAGTGAGAGAGAGGGAGGAGGGACAGGAGAAGAAATAGAGGGGGAGGGAGCTATCATATAAACTGAAAAAGTCCTGGCCCTGACCGGATTGCTCAGTGAATTAGAGGTGCTTGTCGCTTTACCTGATGACCTGAGTTCAATCCTGGGACTCCCATGGTGAGAGCAGAGAAACCCCTCCTGAGAGTGGTCCTCTGACACGCGTGCATACACATATACACACATACACACACAGCAGGGACACACTCACCAATACACACACACATACACACATACAGCAGGGGCACACTCACCAATACACACACATATACACACATACAGCAGGGGCACACTCACCAATACACACACTTACACACACACACACACGAGAGGGACACACATACACACAACAGAGACACACCCACACACATATACACATCCACACCCACAAAGTAGAGAAACGTATGTAGTAAAAAATAAATCCTAAAGAAAATGTCGTGAAACCCACTATCTTGCTTTTTTTAAAAATCGAAACAAAGCAAGGCACACCTAAAGGAAAGCCCTTGCTCGTGTCTGTTCCCCAAGGCTGGCCATCACTCCTGTTGGTATAACTAAGACAAATCAGGTGAGAGAGTCTCTGTTGCACCCAGAGCTCAGTCATGTGACTCCACAGAGAGCAAATGACAACCCACAGCTCCCACCACAGGTCACCTGCTGTCATCACCCGCTGTCAGCTAACTGGCCTTCGGTGCCCAAGCATACCTTAGCAGACACATGAGAAAGCGGGGATTTGAACCCAGGCAGTCTGCGCACAGAGGAGCAAAAGTTTTCACCCCTTGTTCCATGTGCCACATCTTCTCTTTTTCTTTTTGTTTTGTTTTGAGACAGGGTCTCGCATAGCCCAGGCTAGCCTGAAACTCACTATGTAGCCAAGACTGGCTTTGAACTCATCCACCTGTCTTTATCTCTCAAGTGCTTGGAACAGAGGTGAGAATCAGTATATCCAATAGATTGTTTGTTTTCTTTAATTTTGAGTCAGGATCTCATGAAGCCTGCGCTTTAGCTGAAGCTGGTCTTGAAAGCCTGTCTCTAGTGCTCATTTGCTGAGTGCTGGGGTCAGAGTCGCCTCACCAGCTCCCAACACCTCCTGATAAAAGATTTCCCCAGCCTGTAGTCCATACCTGAAATCCCAATATTTGGAAGGCTGAGGCAGGAGGGTTGAGAACTCTAGGCTAGCCTGGGCTACAGATGGAGACTCTGTCTTAGTAAACCAGATATTAAAACAAAAAACAAAAAAAACAAAACAATAAAACAACAACAACAAAAAAAGTCCTGGGGTAGCTCAGTTTGGTAGAGTGTTTGCTCAGCATGCACAAGGCCCTGGGTTCAACCCCAAGATCAAGTCTTAAAAAGAAAACAAAAGAGGGAGAGAGGAAGAGAGAGAGAGAGAGAGAGAGAGAGAGAGAGAGAGAGAGAGAAAAGAAAGAAACAAAAGAAAGAAGAAGAAGCAGGGATGGGGGCTCACCCCTGCAATCCAAACACCCAAAAACCTACAGGGAGACTTTCAGGCTAGCCTGGGCTACAAGTCTGAGAAACTGTCTCAAAAGAACACAACGAACATATGGGAGGTAGAGGCAGGAGTTTTAGGAATTCAAGTCCAGCCTGGGATACAAAGAAGTTTGATGCCAGCGTGGGCTACATAAGCCTATTTCCAAAACTACAGTGGGTGGGAGGGACCCTTCCCCTGCCAGAAAGAAGAGAAGAGGGTTGGAGAAAGAAGTGACCCGGGGAGATCTAGTTCCCCCTTTATTCATTTACTGGTTTCTTCCCCAATCCATTTCTGAACTCAGTGTGGCAACATGCCAGGCCATGGAGGCGGTGAGCAAGGACAGCTCTCCAGAGGAGAGCCTCGGCTTGTGATGGGCTCACACCATCATCCTTCCCCACACGAGCCTGCTGAAGTCCCATTCCACAGAGGCACATCACTGAGGCTCAGAAGGGCAAATCACCAGCCTGGGCTTGGACAGATTCCTGAGCCCTTCACCCACAGAGAACCCCAGGGCTGAAGGAGAGGCAGAATGAAGTGAGAGACCAGGGGCACTTACCTGGGTAGGACAGGTGGACTTGCTCTGGAGCAGCACGAGGATATTCTGGGGCTCCCAGGACTCCCAGGGAGAAAAGGAGGAGCAGACAGTAGTAGAACCAGCACTCAAAAAAGGGGCTCATGGTAGGGGGGATGGTAGGGGGGCAGAGTCAAACGCAGGGACCCGATCAGATTCCGTTGGTGGGTTCCGGTCACAGAGGAAATGGAGAGATGCCAGGCAGGGCCGTCTGTGTCAGTCCGTCTGTCAGGGTGTCAGTGGGGGAGGGAGACAGAATGACTGAAACGTCTCTGAGGGGAGTGGTGAAGCAGGTGCTGGTGAGAGAGAATAATTAATGAGGTCTGCTAGGCTCGCTGCTCAGCACTTTGCATAGATTAACACCGGGAGGCCTCGCAGCATTCCTAAGAGGTGGTGGCCGCAGTCATCACCAACCCTGTCACATATAGGAAACTGAGCAACCAGGTGACTCAGTGGCACGGCTAGGATGAGATGTAGTTGGGGTTTGAACCCTTCCGGCCCGGGCTCCAGCTGCTGGGAGGGGGCTGGGTGGCTGGGGCAGGATGTTTTGAGGACCATCCTCAACGTTCCCTCGGGCTAACTTTAGCAATCCCAGCTTCTGGGGACCTGGAGGTCAGACACCTTTGACAACTCCGTCCCTAACATCTCAGCCTTCCTTAGCAATCTATTGCCCCAATTTTTAGCATCCATCCTCAGATTTCCACTTTATTCTTCACGACCCGATAGCTCCCACTTTACTCCCAGGCGGCTCACTAGCCTCCCTGCCTGAAGCAGCCTCCTCGCTTTCCTCTCCCCAGCATCCCATCCTGTCTTCAGGACCCACTCCTCCCGGGCTCCATCCTTACCCCAGCTGCCTCCCCAGCCCTGAACTTGCATGTGCCTGAACCCCGTTTTCTCCCCAGCTTTCTGGCCGGTTCTGAGGTTCGATCCACCTTCCCCCCGGACCTGGGAGGGTGCAACGGGTCTGGAGACACCGTCCACCAGACCGGAGGTGGGGCATCTGGAGCGCAATCGGGGAGGGGACACCGGCTCACCCTCAGGGGCGCACGAGCTGCCCTCACGGTCCTTTCGGTCACCGATGTGCTGCAGTATTTATGAGCTTGCAGGGACACAAGCTCCCGCCGCCCACAGGTGTCCCAGCCCCGGAAGAGCCGGCTACCTCGGGTGACGGGCTCCCCGGACAGCCAGAGCCCCGGGTCCCACAGGTCCGGCCGGTCTCTGGCACCCCACGCCCACCCTCCCGCCCCGCTTAGGGTGGGGCGCAGAAAGGGGGACCCAGAAAAGCATGGGACACTGACACCTCTGAGCCAGACAGCAGGTGCGCGCCGGGACAGGTAAGGCTGCACTGTCCCCAGGCGTCCCACCGCTCCAGCAGACAGACAGCCCCTTGGGAGGCCGCGACCTCGGGAGTTTTCAGCCTTCTCTGTAGGGCCGGCAACATCTTTCTCTCAACTCCTTCCTGCTTCCCAAACTCGGGACTTCTCCCCCCACCCCCAGACCCCCGCTGGGCATTCTGGAAAACAGAAACTCTAAAGGTCCTGGTGACAATGGCGTTTGTGAGCCCGGCGCCCTAGGCGCAGTTGCTCAACCTCGACGCAGCCTCTGTTTTCTCACCTGTAAAAAGGAGGGGATAGTAGGCACGAACCCCCGTGTTCTGTGCGGAGAACCAAGTTCAAGTCCAGAATCCGCCCCCGGAGTCTAGGTGGGAACAAGTGGGGATTTGGTGGGTAAACCTTTATAAGCTGTCTGGGTGCTGAGGGAGCTTTCGGCAAAGGATGCTTAGGATTCCCCAGACCCACCGCAGACACGTTCTTGGGGAGGAGGGGAGGGTGTTCGGGTTTTCTGTCTTTCAACCATTTTCTGTCTGCAGACGCGATGACTCCGCGGTTTAGATTTGTAAATTAAGTGTCTGGGTCTTTGCTGGTGAAGGATGTGGAGGCAGACTCAGGGTAGGGGTCTCCGGTCTTAGCACTTTTGAATTCCCAACCCTTCCAAAATCTTCATTACAGCTTAAAATGCAATAATAAACAAACAAATAAATAACTTGGGTCCAGGTCTTGTGTTTCAGTCTTTAATTTTAGCGCTAGGGAGGCAGAGGGTCCTTGTACATTCTAAAGCAGCTAGCCTGGTCTGCAGCGAGTTCCAGGGCTACAGAGTGAAAGCTGGTCTCAAAAATAAAACAAATAAAAGTAAATCATTTGGGTGTAGTGGTGCACCCACTTAATCCCAACACGCAGGAGGCTGGAACAGGGGCCGGGAGTCTGAGGCTACATAACCAGACCCTATCTTAAAACAAAATACCACAAGAGAGCTCTTTTCATCAATTTCAACTTTTGACTCATAGCTACTGCGGCAGCCACGCTAAAACCCTCGCCTTCTGTTATTTTTCCTGGTGGCCTTCCAGAATGGAAGCCTCTTGACTGCTTTTATGCAAAGGGCGCCTATGGCAAGCTACTGAGGCCCACACGGGTCGTGTTTTAACATGAATAAGATAAACACACAGATTTACAAAAGAAACCCAAACCACCAAGTTGCACATAGCCAGATATTTTTAAAGCAACTGTGTCGTACAGAACATATGTGCTCTTGTGTTTATTTGAAAATAGGGTTTTATGTTTCCCAGACTGGTCTGGAACTCACTATGTAGCTGATCCTCCTGACTCAGCCTGTCAAATGCTTCAATTACAGACCTAGGACATGATGTCTGGCTTTTTTGTTTGCTTGTTTTAAATTCTTTATTACAGCTATTTATTTGTATAAACGTGTGTTTGTTTGTATTCTTGTGGACCCTCACATGTGGGTATTTTTTTTTAAGTTGAGGGTCTTGAAATGTAGTTCAGATTAGCCTGGATTTTATTTTATAGCCCAGGATGGCCTCAAATCTTTCCTGCAATCCTTCTACTCTGACTCCTGGGTACTGAGATTACAAGCCCCACCAATACAGGCTATGCTGATTTATTAGTTCATTGAACTTCAAGTCTTGTGTCAGATTCAAAAGAACAGGTAGTCTAGAAGCTTTGCCTTCCTCCACTTGGTTCGTCTTTCATTTTATTCTTCATACGAAAGCTTTTCAGTCACAGGCAGATCACATCACAGGGTCCTGGGGGCAAGGCTTCTGCTTGTCTAGATGATGCCCGTGGTTTGTTGTCCTCCTGTGAGGGGGACCGGGAGGCAGGAGGGCAGGGAGTCGGGAGGTGGGGGAGTAGAAGGAGCTGCTGAATTCCAAGTCCCACCCAGGTCTGCTCAACCAGGGATTGCTGAGGACCTGAGTCCCATCCCCAAGTCCGATGTGGTGGGAAAAGGGAACGGACTCCCTTGACCTCCACGGGCTCACACTGCAACGCTTGCACACACAGTCAAACCCTGCCCCGCCAAACAAATAAATAAAAAACCAATTTAAAAAAATTAAAGAGGAGTCACAGATGTGGAGATGTGTCTCGTGAGATAGTCCCAGCACTTAAAAGGCTGAGGCAGGAGGACTGCTGCAATTAATAGCTCAAGACCAGATCTGGCTACACAGTGAGCTCCAGGTCACTCTAGGTTAGAGTGAGAACCTGGCTCAGAAAAAAAGGGAAGAAGGAAGGAAGGGGGAGAGGAAGGTAACCCTTATAATCCCAGCATTTGGGAAATGGAAGCAGGAAGATTAGGAGTTCAAAGTCATCCTCAGCTAGGTACTGAGTTTGAGGACAGCCTGGGCTGTTTGAAACCCTGGAAAGAAAGAAAGAAAGAAGGCGGCTGGGCGGTGGTGGCATGCACTTTTAATCCCAGCACTTGGGAGGTAGAAGCAGGCGGATCTCTGTGAGTTCGAGGCCAGCCTGGTCTACAGAGCAAGTTTTAGAACAGGCACCAAAGCTACAGAGAAACCCTGTCTTGAAAAACCAAAACCAAACCAAACCAAACTAAAACAAAACAAAACAAAAAAATCAAAGAAAGAAAGAAGAGAGGAAGAGAGGGAAGAAGAGGAGAGAGGGAGGGAAGGAAGAGGGAGGAGAGACCATGTCTGTGAGAGTTGGCGCTGAGTACTCACAGCTCCCATGCAGCTGTAATCTTTGGGTTGAGCACAGAGCACCAACTGTGGGACCCAGTGACCTGTGTTGAAATCTAGTTAGTGTATTAACCTTAAGCAAGTCATTTGGCCTCACTGTGCCTCAGTTTCCCCATCTGTTGAAGGGGATGATAATAGTAAGTTCCTGGGGTTGTTGCAGGGCAGCAGATTAGATCTCAGATAGAATCTCTTAGAATTGTGCCTGGCGCAAAGCGCGTGCCCTACATAACGTCCCTTCCAATTAGCTTGATACCTAAGCTATGCAGTCGGCACACTTTGGAAGATAAGCTGTCGGGAGCCTGCTTTCCTGAATCTCTTTAGAATCCCGAGGAAACGGCTCTGGCAAACAGAAGAGCACGTGAAATCGAGGGCTTCACTTAACGACCGTACCTGTGCTCTCATTACCCGCGTGGAGGTGGGGGGACAACATGACCACATGATCTTACCAGTTTCCTACTCCGCGTGCCCTCCCTGGCACCACTAGCTTCCTCCTCACAAAGGAAGCCACTATCCTGACTTTGACCTGACCTTGATGTTACCCTGCCTGCTTTCCTGTACACAATGGTTTCGTTTTGCCTCTCTGTGCCTCTGTGCGTGTGGAGAACTCTGCCTGAGTTCCTTCTCTCCGCGTGAACATTGTGAAATTCATCTGGGCTGGGCAGATACAATCTATTCTCCTTGCCAAGGAGAATTCCACTGTGTGAGCACACCATGACTTATCTGCCGTCTCTCAATGAAAATGCGAGTTTATGCATTGAAGACTTTGGCTCTTGCAAGTAGGATCTTTTGAACATTCTTGTTTATGTTTTGTAGGTGAACATACATACACACTTCTTTTAGGTATAGAGTCAAGAGCAGAATGGCTGGGTTGTGTGGCATGTACATATATGTATGTGCATGTATATATATGTGTATATGTGTGTGTGTGTGTGTGTGATTATGTTCATCCTAGGTCAGTACTAACAGACGTTTTCCCAAAACAGCTGTAGTCACTTCTCTACTTCCTACTATCCACGCTGGAACATTTCCATTGCTCTAGATCCTTGCCAACACTTGGCATTGTCAGGCAATTCATTTTTAGTCATTCTGTTGGGTGTGTAGTAGCAGCTCCTTGTAGTGTTAATTTGCATTTCCCTGATGAGCAATGCAATTAGGCAGCTTTTTGTTTGTACCTGGCCCTCGGATGTCCTTTTTCTCGTGTTCCTGT